TAAACTATGCTTCTTTTCAGATACTCTCTTCCTGATTGGACATTGGATTTCTCCGCCTGCACTGCACGCAGGCACGTGGGCCTGCTCAGGTCCCCACTCGGGCTCTCTGGGGATTTCCTGTTCATGGTTCTGCATGCCTGGTTCCGCACTCCTGTGTCAGAGTTCTTTTCACATGGTTTTTGGTACTCCTGAGGCCATCTTCAGTCACGAACTCTTGCATGGTCCCCGAAGAGCATTACGTGCTTTCCAGAAATAGTGTGTACCTTGTGAGATTGAAATCCTTGAAACTTCCCTTTTCCCTCTTAAAAGTCACTTGGATTACAAAAGTGCTTCTGCCTTGTGTATTCTTTCAGCATTGAGAAGCAAGAACTGAGGTAAACCATCCCAGAAACCTAACAGTTTTGCCTTATTATGTTTCACTATATCTGCTGGTTTGTTTGCAATATAAAATGGTTCTATTGCTAATCTAAGTGGATGAGTCTAAGAGAAGTTAAATGCTAACAGTGCTACCTCTCCCCTTGTAAGTATTATAAAGTGATATAATATTATGCCTAAACTTAAAAATGAAACCACAAAAATTAGGGTTATAGGATATTTTTTCTCTAAAGCAGCATTGAAAATCAAAGTCCAAAGAATTTTATTTTTTCAACAAACGTCAAGATTTGGTATACTGTCCAAGAAATATTCTCTTCTTTATCTTTTAGAAAATTATCAGAGTGCTATTTTGAACAGAAGATAATTGGGGAATATTCCCCTCTGGCTATCTCCTAGGGGGTTCATAAATATCTAAGTAGATATAAAAGATCCAATTAAAACATATTCATAACCAATACATAACATATTTATGCATCTGATACTCTACAGGTAAGAGAAACTATGACTTCACTGACATAAATTTAGAATACAGAACCTAAAAATCAAGGAAAAATATGCTATGAAATTTCTAATATGAAAAATGTTAGCTCTTCCCCACAACATTAAAAACGTTAGCTCTTCCCCACAACATAAATCTATTAAAATCTATTGAAGCATATTTCTACCCAATCATTTAAGATACAGTCTTTCTATTAAAAGCAAACGAACAAAAAACACTGCCATCAAGTTGATTCTGATTTGCTGTGATCCTGCAGGATAGGGTAGCTCAAGTCTGCAAGGGTCTGAGACTAACATTTGACAGAAGTAGAAATCTTCATCTTTCTCCCACAGAATGGCTGATGGTTTCACACTATTAACCTTGTGATTATCAGCCCAAATTCTAACTATTATAGAAAGTAGTAACTAGTAGGTCCATAAATATAGAGCTAAACAAGAGCCTCCAAATTGGAAAGTTTTACTTTCCTGACAGATGTAGATAATACAATTCAAAGTAAGAATGGGAATGCTTTCTTTTTAATAGAAAGCAAAAGTATTTGACAAATTCACCTCCCCAGTAGCTCATATTTATATATACATAATGAAGGGGAAATAAATAAATTAGGTTTATTTTATTAGCCACTAAAATTAAGTCTAGAATCAGCTAAGGCTTTTACTTCATTCTTAACCTTTTCTCTAGTATTGATTCCCTAAAGATAGCCAAACACACCACAAATTTCCTTTTATTTCTCATGGGAGGAGGGAGCAAGTTGTAGCATTATACTATAGTGTAGCAGGAGGCAATATGGAAAGATGGAAAGTACCTACACCTTGGGGAACAAAGAGAGCTGGGATTGTATCTTGAATCTGATGCTTATTAATAAAAATTTCTGTAAAGTATCATAAAGCAATGTGCCAAATATTCCATTATTGTAGCAGATGATAAGTAATAGTTATTATTTATCTCCTAAATATTATTAATGATTTAATATTGTTGACGTGCTTATGGATAATCACAAAACAGCTTGTATACATGTATTTACTAAATAGGTACATGCATTTTCCAATATTTTGCTCATGATAGTAATTTTTTTGCCTCAACTTTGCTAACTGTTAAAAAGTATACACACATGATTACAGAAGTTTAATTATATTTATCTGGTTCATTGATAATTTAAATGCATATTTTCTATTTAAATGGACTAACTTTGCATATCTGTGAGGAAGACTGGACTTGCAGCTCCATAAACAGTTACAGACTCGTAAACCCACAAGGGGTCATTATGAGTCAGCATTGGTTTTGCATATCTATTTGCCAGTGTGTGCATGTGCATGTATCTGTGATTGTATATACATATAACCAAAATGTACTGAATAGCTTGGCCATAACTTTTTCTTTACCAATCCAAAAATGAGTACATGTTCACAGGGAACATCTAGGATCACACACAGCTTATAACCATATGCCTTAGGTGATGAGCATGTGTTTTCAGATTCCAAATCTCATTTATTTATCTTGTGTCATTGTGGATTCTGGCACAGTACTTAGCTGATATCAAGAATTATGTTTGATCTCATCTTTCTTTAGATACACAAAAATAATTTTGTAAATATAATGAATTGATTTTCTTCACTGAAGTAGCAGTTTTGTATAATTCTAACGACTCACCTCAGCTACATAAATGCCATTTTCTCAATATAATTCCAATGAATATTCATTTTCACCCCCTCCTAATGGACTTTGAACAATACATTTAAGAATTTTCCAATTAAGCAAGGGAAAGAGCTTTTATGTTCTAATCAAATGATTTATTTTTAAAATTTTTATAGTGTTTTAGCCACCAAAATAATTGGGTGATTTAAAAGTTGATGACTTCTAATACATTTTGTTCTAAACATTTATTTTGAATAAAGAATATTCAGTCTCAAATGGATTGCATTTTCTGATAACTAATTTTAGCAAATTTTCCCTTTAACTTTGTTTTTTAAATAAAACTCCTATGGAAAAGTGTTTCTCTAAATATTGACATTTCTCTCTGGGTTGTCCTGAGTTTATCTTTCTGAGAATGTTGCAAGTATTTGAATTTATTCTCCTGTAACCACTCCAATCTGTGTGGCTTTTCTTACTGAGAGATCAGTATCAATATATTAAAATTGGAGTTTGACTTGGATCTATTATTTGTAGCACAGTATGTACCCAAATGACTGACTTCAATTCAAGAATTAGTAAATTAGAGTAATTTAAGAAGAAGCACAGGTAGAATATGTTAAACATAAAAATTTGCATTGATATTTTAGAAGTTTAAATTTATTTTAAAAATTAAAAATTTACATGAAATACATTACATATCCCCCAATGGTATACTATGAGTTCATAATTTAAAACTTTGGATTCTTATGTAAGCAATGTAAGAAATGCTTATGTAAGGAATGCTTTCTTTTCCATGAGACCAGGACAAAAATAGACCACTCATTTTACAAGCCATCTCTTTCATAACTTTTACTCTCAACTATTATTTTTAACTTCATCTTATATTTTAATCAACTACTTTATTAATTATATACTTATTAATTATTTCACTGAGCTCACAATAAGTAATACATAAACAACTTTACAGCCATGAGAGAAAATATTTTGCAAAACTGAAGATCTTGATTTATTTTTGCAAATCTCCAATAAGTTCTTAAATTTCAGTAAGTAGAAAAACTTGTAAAGATCCATGTTGCCAATGACCAAAAAGGCATGTATAGTCAAAAAAAGGACCACAATTTTGTAACTGAACTATAAACTGTCTTACATTTAATTAGGTCATGGTGAATTCCACCCTGCCCAAATGCTGGTAAACTCTTTCCTGAAAACTCCACAGTTACTCTGAAACTGGAAAGTATTCAGGGAGTAGTTCAGTAACTGCTACAATACTGGCATGAGGCTGTTTTATAGGACCAACTGCATTCAGCATATTCTCTATATAAAATTATTCTAAAGGGCATATCATTAACTTTTATTTTTCAGTGTTAACCACAGACTTGTGATATAAGCATTAATACTTTATTCTACAGGTAAGAAGATTACACAAGGAATATTACACAATGGGTGAATGACCTAAAATTCTGGTGTTCCATTCCAGTGTGCTGTGCAATCAACCAACCAAAAAACCGACCAACTGACCAATCAACCAACCAACTCACTGTTGAGTTGATTCCAGCTCACAGTGACCCTTTAGGGCAGGATAGAGGTGCCTGTGTGGGTTTCAGAGACTGTAACATTTGTGGAAGTAGAAAGCCTCCATTTTCTCCCAGAGGGCAGTTGGTGGTTTCAAACTGCTGACCTTGCAATTAGCAGCCCAAAGTGTAACCACTACACCACCAGAACTCCCAATATTCTGTACATTTATCTACTATCACAAGTGTTTGTACATGAGAAGATATATTTTAATTAATAACTGATTTTACTAAATAAACCAGTTTACTCAAGTATTTAGAAATGTGATTTAAACCAGTGCATTTTAATTAATAATGTGATTTAATAAATAGACCAGTAGACCCAGTTATATTGGAACTGACATGATTCTAAAAAAATGAGCATATGTCTTTATCTTTGTTTTGTTCTACAGGAAACAACATTGAATTTTACCCAATGTCTGGTCCTTGCCTTATACATTAGTCTTTGGAAATCATGTGTTTCTCCATGAATCAACATGAGAAGCCACTATGAAGACATGGCTAACATGCCTTTGAGTCCCATTATTATTTGTTCCTGTCATGGAAATACACACTGTGATTTCATTAATGTTTTCAAATCTGTTTCATGAAGAATCAATATGAAAAATTTCACAGAAATCACCATGTTTATACTGATGGGCTTCACAAACAATTTTGAACTGCAGGTAATCTTATTTTTTGTATTTCTAGCAATCTATCTCTTTACTCTAATTGGGAATTTAGGTCTGGTTGTATTGGTCATTGGGGACTCCCGGCTCCACAACCCCATGTACTATTTCCTGAGTGTATTATCATTCTTGGATGCCTGCTTTTCCTCAGTAATTACCCCAAACATGTTAGTAAATTTTATGTCAGTGAATAAAGCCATTTCATTCCTTGGATGTGCAACACAGATGCTTCTCGCTGTCACTTGTGGGACCACAGAGTGCTTTCTTTTGGCAGCAATGGCATATGATCGCTACGTAGCCATCTACAACCCACTTCTGTATTCAGTTCACATGTCACCCAGAGTCTATGTGCCACTCATCACTGCTTCATTTGCTGGTGGTATTCTGCATGGCACTTTACACACTGTTGCAACTTTCAGCCTCTCCTTCTGTGCATCCAATGAAATTAGACATGTCTTTTGTGATATCCCCCCAATTCTTGCCATCTCCTGTTCTGACACTCACATCAACCAACTTCTCCTCTTCTACTTTGTGGGTCTTATTGAGACAGTCACCATCTCGATTGTCCTGGTTTCCTATGGTTTCATTTTGTTGGCCATTCTGAGGATTCATTCTGCTGAGGGACGACAAAAAGTCTTCTCCACTTGTGGTGCTCACCTAACTGGAGTGTCCATTTATCATGGGACAATCCTCTTCATGTATGTGCGACCAAGTTCCAGCTACGCTTTGGACCATGACATGATAGTGTCTACATTTTACACCGTTTTGATAACCATGCTGAATCCCATCATCTATAGCTTGAGGAACAAAGATGTAAAAGAAGCAATGAAAAAAGTGTTTTCAAAAAATTGGTTTCTCAATAAAGTACATTTTGAGCACTAAAAATTATGGTACTAAAGAAATATTTCAGTATTACAATACAGAAACACATATTTAATGCCCAGATATGTGTATAACATCCATTTAAAGTTGCATATTTTTGTTTTATTTCTTTTAACCTACCCAAGGGTACTTCAAATGTATGTAGAATATATTTTTTGTCTTTTATTTCTGCTTTTCCATGGAAATTTTGAAGCCTCCCTGTATACTGGGAAATTGAAACTATAGTAAACATATTATCAAGTACAGTCTGATTTAAATAATTAGAAACTTAAGAATTATAATTTCTAAAAACTAACAACATAAATAGCCCACTACTGCCACCAAGTCATTTATGACGTACAGCAACAATGAAGGCCTGCTCCACAGGCCTCTTGTGGCAGTAACATTTATGGAAGTAGATTATTACTTCTTTCTCCTGCAGAACGGGAGAAAGACATATCAATGAAAATTCGTGTATAAGGGTTACCCAGCTGAAGACCGCCCTCGGTAATGATAAAATGTTGATGGCTTTAACCCACTTGGACATAACAAAGAAAACCTTCCAGACAAAGGGTTACATTCTCAGGGGTTGGAGCAAGATGGTGACCAAGTAGCACACACAGGAGAGGCTCCACAGAAACCAGTGCAGAGGGGCTATGGAGAGGGATAGACTACACTGCCATACTTCAGGATTCTCAGCATAAAGATAAATAGTCACAAGTTTATTAAAATAAAAGAACAGTAATGTCTGCAGGTGCCCCCTTCCAAACCTGCCCTTTGTCATCAGCCCTTGGCATAAGCTGGTGGAGTACAGATCCATAACTTTCCTGACTGGTTTTCCAAGGCTAGGAGCTAGCTAGGGTGACTGCCCAGCTGAGCTGCAGGGACAAAGGTCTACATGACCAACCTGGGGTGGATATAAGCACACATAGGCTTGGATCTCGGCTTAAGTCCTTGGACCATTGGTCTGAAACCCTTGCACTCCTACCTCCCTAATAGCAGAGATAGCACAACCTGTTCAGCTGTGTGGGGACACACTGGGGCAGCTGAGAGCAGGCATAAATAGTGAATACACTAATTTACCACACATGCCAGGAAGCTCCAGCCCCACTTGTATATGGAAGAATGAATAAAGAAAGGAAGGTACATAGAACAAAACACTCTGCATCTCTAAAACACAGCGATGAAGCGTGAAGGCACGAAGAACCTGGAAGCCATTCCGCTGAGTGAATTCAGTCAACCACAAAGGCAAACATTGCATGTTTCCTCTACTATAAGGAGAAATATCAATTAACCAAACCTTAATAACCAATCCCCAAACAAAAGAACAGAATGTCTGTCTTCCGAGCATGATACATCACCCCCTTATGTGCATTTCATAGAAACAACCTCCAAGGAAAAGACCTCACATTGGCAGGAGTCTTCTAGATCAGGGGTGATCAATACGCCAATCACAATCTACTAATCGAACTCAAATACAGTGTGGGTAAATCGCATAGCGTTAAAAAAATAGACGTAAACCTATCATCAATCCTGTCAGTTAACTGAGATACAGCACAGCCAATCAGCTGCAATCTTAGGTGTCGAACACATGCGAAAACAACTGCACTAAGGGCAGTAAAACTGATCATCTAAGTCATCGCCAATTTTTAGACCTTGCTTTTTTTTCTCTTAAACGTAAGAAAGGGTATTAAAATGAATGGGGGAGCTGGACCAAGGAAGAAGACAAAAATGTATCACTTTCATATGGAATGGGAGAGTTTGACACTACAAGCCGACATTCAGCTAAAGTCCAGAGCACATGAACAGTTCTGGAACTTACTCACTGAGGGAAAGTACCCAAATATGAGAACATGTGCTACCTCCTTGACTGCATTATTTGGCTCTACTTATTTATATTAGTCAGCCTTTTCCCACATAAAGATCATTAAGTCCAAATACCGTTCCACCATGACTGATGATCATTTGGAAGTGTGCTTGAGGCTGTCTGTCAGCAGCTACTGTCCGGACTATGCATCCCTAGCTCATTCCATCCAGTGCTAGTCATCAGAGTAAACTCAGCTAATGACAAAAAAATGTACATAGTTAATTGTGTTGTGTTGTGCAATATGGACTCATGCGGTTATGCAAGTTACATAAACATACATTGTACATACGAAGAATTCTCAATGCATTTATGAATAAATATAATAAATAAATAAAAAGAAATATATGTTTTGCATTTTTGCAATTGGTAGATCATTTTGACTTGATCACTATATAAGTAGCTCGCATGCTGGAAAAGTGTGAGCACCCTTTTCTCGATCACCCACTTTATGCTATACAACAAGGAGACAACATTGTGACAAATGAACAGACCCTCCACATGATGAGAGGAAAACCTTAATGGAAAATCAAGTTCAGACCAGAGGAGGGGAGCATCTTCATTTCAGAGAAGACACTGATATTTTGTTGGTGAGTACGGTGGCTAAATGGGGTGGAGCAACTTCAAATTTGGAAGGGATGCGAAACAATAATTCTAGGGAACCAGTGGGAGTGTAAACCTGGTTCTATGTTCCTGGGTACACACTTCAAATATGTTTCTACCCAATCTTCAGTGAACCACATCATGGACTAAGTATTATGATGATCTTACATGGGGCATTACAGGGACCATGTCATCCACCAAGGGCTACAACAGAAGGACTAACAAAGGAGCTCAATTCAATGAACTGACCCTACCTCAAAATTACCTGCACCCTTGGATTTAGGATTGAAAAACTCCTTTGGAAGAAGAAACAAAGGATGGCCACCCCAAAACTGTGGAATGGAGGTTATTGGTTCTTTGGTAGGACCCCCGGATTAATATGTGCCCAGTTAAAAAGGACCCACAACCACCATATATTTACTACTGCGATGCTCCCCTTGCATTAATATAACAGGTTTTAATCTGTTAGGCAAGGATCTGCCCTTGTAGGAAATAGTACAAGAAAATTTCCTCTAACACAAGCCCCCACACTCAATGTAAGCAGAGCTCAACCAATTAAGAAAGCAAGCTGTACAAAGCAACAATGCAAGGATTACTTCTCACAGTTGGACTATGACTATACTCATGTAAACTCTTCATATCAACAGTACTTAAGATCTATGCCTCTGGAAAAATTATGGACATTATCAATGCAATCTCCTTATACCACAGAGGGATGATTGACAATGTCTTTCTTTTATTTTTGTTGTTCTTGAACCAGTCATTCATAACCCAGATGAATTCTGGGCTCCCACTTCATTCTAGCCCCAATCCAAGAAAAGTTAGTTGTAGTAACTTGGCCTTGCTCGATACCTGCTTTCATGAAGAAATAACTGAAGAGAAGGGTGCTACAGCACTGTGTGGTAATGAAAGCAAATAATACTATCAATTGGAATAGTGTCTGTGGTCTTCAAGGTTTGTATTCAAACAAGCAGTCATCTAAGTGAGGTGTCAACTAAGCTCACACCGAAGAAGCCTTCCAGCCAGTGTGATCCAATTAGGATGATGATAAAATCCAAATGTGATACTGGGAAAAGTATCAGAACTTAGATTGTGAATGTCCAATTTGCAGAAGGCTAAGGAGGACAGTGGGAGACAAAGTCCATCTACAGAGTATCTACAGTAGTCAGAATTACCCTCTGGCAAATCCACACCAGCCACAGGTGAGGAATTTAAAAAGTTTTACTATCAGAAAGAGATTGTACACCTCATTATCATGGATCAAACCGTGGTATATTATGATACTTGGCCAGTTGGCTTCCCCTCCTGAGCCAACCTGATTTTGCTCTAGACTCTACTATTTCTCACTTGTTCTGTGACAGAAATTTCTTCTCTGACTTTTAAAATGTCATTGGTTGTATTTTCTTCTTTCTCTATATTTTTATTTTGTATTATTATCTTTTTCTGTTTCTTTTTCTTTTTGCCTTTCATTGCTTCTGTTCGGTTTCCCAGCTCATGAAGCACCAAAGCAGTGGATGCACAGAGACAATAACTGACGCCATGGTTTATCAGCAATGGGGCTGGGGAAGTTCAGGGTGGGAGAGCTGGGAGGGGGAGGGGAATTGGGGAGTAAACAATATATGGGGTGGGGGGGATAATTAGAACTGATTGCAGTGATGTATATACAACTCTTTTTAAAAGCAATATAACTATGGAAATATATGATATGTGAAAATTGTATCAAGAAAACTGCTAAAAAACTTGACCGATGGTTACCATTGATGAAGGAGAATTTTTGCTTAGGGAGCATTGCATTATGTTAAGGGTGGTAGAATAATGTGGAAAAGGATATCAATAATAGTTGCACAACACAAAAAGCAGAATCAAGAGCACTGAATTGTACATTTGGAGGCTGTTGAATTGGAGAATGTTTCTTTGTGCATTTCCCCCCACCCCCCACAATTTAAAAAGAGAATTACAGAAAAAATAAAATCTTCTGAAAGATCACAACCATCGAAAACTATATGGTGAACAGTTCAACTAAAACCCATTTTATCATTATATTATTTTAATTATAGCATTGGAAATAAAATCCTGATGTTTGATTTCAGATTTCAGGATACATATTTCACTCATTTATTCACTCTATCAGTCAGAGTTAGTTAACATCTATCTTTTGGGCATCTCCTCTTTCCTTGGCGTTGTATTTGAAACTGGTAATAAAAAGGAAAATATACAGGCATACCCCTTTGTCTTATAAAGCTAGAAAGTGCCAGAGAAAGAGAGAATTGTTATAGATATTGAAGTATAATATTTTATATTTTTTGGAAAAGAATTGCAATTGATTATATATATATCACTCAAATTAGCTAAATTAACAAAATAGAAATTGCACTAGATTTGATTTCTATTTTGACTATTTTAATAATAGTGAATATTCCATCTCTTTATAATTGTCACATTCAAAATTTGGTGTATGTAATCTGATTCAACTGTGAATGTGCAAGGGTTTGTTCTTAAAACCAAAGGGGAATCCTTGGGCTGAATTCTATCCCCAATATTCACATTCATAGCA